GGGGGGGGGGGGGCAAGTCAGATACACTTTAACCCTAAAAAGCCATAAACTTTAGCAAAGTGGGAGACAAGAATATTTTTATATTCAAAAAATCCCTAGTTTTTTAACCCTAAATGCCATATCACTCATGAAAAAGACAAACCCCTAAATTAAAGTGAACATACGACTGTTTTCCCCAAAACTCTAATATAAAATCCCATAATTTGTGCATGTAGACAAAAGCCCTAAATTTTTAACCCCAAATGCCAGATCAGTCATGAAAAAGACAAAACCCCTAAAAAAGAGTGAATATTCGAGTGTTTCCCCAAATATAAAATCCCAAAATAACAGATGAAAAATTGTGCATGCAGACAAAAATAGCTTTCACTATCAAACATTACCCACATTATTTCACAAGAAATTAGAAGACAAAAAAGAAAACGACATCAAAAGAAACAAACTAACCTTCAGAGCCTATAACATGACTGAAATCGAAAGCTCAGACCAAACGAAGCTCGATCAATTTTTGATTAAAAGAGAGGAGACCCCAATTAGTTGGTTTTGGAGTGACTAAGATTTATTTTGGAAGGGGATGACTAATTTTCAGCCATTGCTTAACCTAGGTTTAAGAGGGGAGGGTTGATTAGAGAGAGGAAAAGAGATGAAAAGTGGGGGAGGGTTTGTCGGTGTACTGATTAAAAAAGGGGGACCCAATCAGTTCGGGTTTAATTTCGTGCCCTTGATGTGTACCAGTCTCATTGGTTATTTTCTGACTGGATGGACACGTTAGCGAATGTGTAATACACGCGCATATGGTCAAGGGTAAAATGTGTTTATTAGTTATAGGTTTCATGAGTTTGAGTGTTTAAATGGGAAAGACAAAAGTTTGTGTATCGGCTTTCAAAAGCCCTACACGTTTAAGTGGCCAGGAAGCCATTACGCCTGGGAAGAAACTTGATTTACAATTGATAATTGAAAAATAGTCATAGTTTCAAATGTATGAAATTCAGCCATTTTTCATATAAAGATAAAATCTGAATAAAAGCACCATTAAACTCCAGAAAAATTGCAACATAAGATGCGTCATGGATTCCCTTAGATCAGTGTCTTATTCAATTGGTATCAATGGCTGGCCAACATAACCATTTGCAACTAGGAGAGAATTTAGACAGGGGGATCCCATGTCCCTTTCTTATTTGTTCTTGCCATGGACTATTTCTCCAGAATGCTGAGAAGACTAGATGACCAACCCGATTTTAACTATCACCCTAGATGCTCAAGACCGAAACTAATCCAATTTGGGTTTGCAGATGATCTCTTCCTCTTTTGTAGGGGTGATTATATATTTGTATAGATGTTTTACGACTATTATCAATAGTTCTTTCAAGTATCTGGCTTGGTAGCAAATAAGGATAAAAGTTCTGTATACTTTGGTGGGGTGAGTGAAGGGATGGAAAAGGCTATTATGGAAATGCTTGGTTTCACCAAAAGAGAGATGCCTTTCAGATATTTAGGAATTCCACTCGGTACCAAAATACTGTCAGTCAGTCAATGCCAACCTTTACTTGAAAAAATGCTGGGAAGGATCACAAGCTGGACAACAAAATTCCTCTCATATGCAGGAAGGGTTCAATTGCTTAAGAATGTCTTATTCTCTATCCAGATTTATTGGTCGCAAATATTTGTACTGCCTACTAAAGTGATAAAGCTAATTGAAGCCACATGTAGATGGTTTCTCTGGACTAGAGGTGTGGAGCTAACAAAGAAATCTCTACTTGCTTGGGATAAAGTTTTCTATCCTACTAGTGCTGGTGGACTGAGTATCCTTGATATTGCTGTATGGAAAAGAGCAACTATTAGCAAGTTACTCTGGTATATATGTTATAGAAAGGATAAACTCTGGGTGAAGTGGGTCTACAATTACTACATCAAAGGGGAACAAGTGTGGGGAGTTGTTCCTAAGCAAGCATCTTGGGTAGTGCAAAAGATTATGAAGATTCAAAGCTATGTTCAGCAAGATGTGATCAGTGAAGAAGACCTGTAGAGCATGCCTACTTTCTCAATAAAGAACATGTATGTGCTGGTGAGAGCTGACTTTCCAAAAGTACATTAAAGAAAATTGGTGCGCAATAATTTTGGAACTCCAAAGTGGATTTTCATCCTTAGATTAGCAGCTCATGGTAGTTTGGCTACAAAAGATAGGTTGATGCAATGTGGGATTGCTGATAATCAAGTGTGTCTGATATGTACTTCGCAGGTTGAAAGTATATCTCACCTATTTTTTAAGTGTGAGATATCTGCACAAGTGTGGAATCAACTACTTAAGTGGCAAAAGATTGCTAGAACTATTATGTCTTGGCCAGAGGAACTAAATTGGGCAGAGAACCATGCCAAAGGGAGAAGTGCAATTGCTGAAATTTATAGGATGACGTTGGCCGCATGCGCCTATCATATCTAGATTGAGAGGAATCACAGGGTTTTCCAAGATAAACAAACAGATCACAAGAGCATTGTCAAAAAAATAATCTAAGAAGTTTTTCATAGAGGATCACAAAGGAGAAGACTTACTACAGAGCTTGGAAAATTGAACTGTTATCCTTCTTCTGGCAAGTGGGCCGGGCCCGGTCCTAAACGGGCCTAAGTGGGCCGGTATTCACGGGCTTTTTGTAGGAACTAGCCCGGGACCTCGAAATAATGGTCCCGGGCTAAGTGGGCCGGTCCCGGGCCTAAGTGGGCCCAACGGATAAACTTACTATTTTTTAAATTTTTTTATAGAAGTTAGAAAAAAAAAGATGGTAATAAAAATAGCTAAGGTAATGCATTATAATTTTTATTATATCATTAATAAAACATAGCAATATCTTTCTTAGTCTTTCTCCCCCCTATGAAATGAGCACAACAAGGTGCTAAGACCACCATTGAGAAGAAAAAGAAACTAATCAAGATGTGCCAAAATACAAGTTACATATTAATTTACATGATATCTCTTACAAACTTTATAAATCCATTAATGTCCGAAGGAATTTCCGTTGGTGGTGGCGGAAAAGAAGCGTGGTCATTACCGCTTCCGGGCTAAGCAGAATTCCCCGCAAGTTCAGCTAGCATTTCTTCGTAAGCTTCGTCTACCCCTGGTTGTGATTTAGCAAGTTCAAAATTTCTTCTTTCCGAACGGATCCAATCTTTGAAAAGTACTGATTTTTCCAAGCTCTCCCTCATAGACGCTCTATAATCACCGAGTTGAAGTCTTGCTTGACTGAAAGCGCTCTCTGATGCAACTGTTGAAACTTCAATAGTTAAAATGTCTCGGGCCATTCTTGAAAGAATCGAAAAGTGCTTTTCTTTGTCCTTCCACCATTCCAAAATATTAAATGAGCCGTCAGAATTCACTTCCTCAATTCCTTGTGACAAATAAACTTCAAGCTCATTTAGTTTATGGGGTTGGAACATTTGGTCTAGCCTGATCTAATGCAACTTGATAAGCATTATAAATAGTTTGACTATTTATTTTAATTGAGAGGCTATTGCTTCCGGAAGTTTATACAACTCCCCTTCTTCAAGTGCTAAACCATTAGGCGAAATACATACGGAGACACTTAAAGTGGGCATAATCTTTCATTTAGACACCTGAACTAAAGAGAGTTTATATTGAGCACTTATACTATCCGAAACTTATTCCAATTGAGCACTTCTTGCTGAGTTGACACATAAAGTGAATTTCACCCGATATAGGCGCGTGAAGACCCAAAAAAATAGATTTTTTCTTTTTTCTTTTTTATTTCCTTCATCTTCTCCCTCAAAAACAAAATAGATCTGCCAGTTGTCTCTTCACTGCCAGAATTCGGCAAGAGAAACCGGCGACCTCATCCTCTCCAAAAACCCAACGAGCTCCCCTCTTCTTCTCCCGTGCTGGTCACAGAAAAATTCCAAAACCCTAGGAAAACGATATGGGTTTGGCAGCGGTAAGCTAGAAATATTGTGCAATCTTGTCTTGATAAGAACACAAAAATTTTATTTTTTGTATATCAATAGTTTAAAGGCTAGGTGTAATTAGTTGATGTTATTTGCATGTTGGATTTTCTGAATGTTTAACAAGTGTTCAACGTTCTTCAATTTTTGATTCTTTATTTTTTATTATTGGATTTTTATTTTTCTTGTAAATCCTGGATTTGATTTAAGGTTGGAGAAGACAAGAGCAGCAGCCGCATCCCCTTGTTGCAGAGAACTGCAATTAAATGAAATCTACCATTAATGGGTCTTTAAAAAACTTGAGGGTTTAAAATGGGTTAGTTGATTTGATGAAAGTTTGGGAAATTAATATTGGGGTTGTCTTCGGGTCGTCGTGGGGAATGTTTAGCTGAAGTTATAACAAATTTGGTGGAGTTTCTCTTAAAAATTTGGATTAAAATTGTGCTTGGAACAAGAACACACATGAAAATTATGAAGAACACCAAGACCACTAATTATTTTGTTTATTAAATAGATTTAACATAGTTTTTTTCTTTTTTTTTTACTAGGGAATGCATTGCACAAACTTTGTAAGTTTGGCTGATTGTCAAATAAATGCTCAATTGGAATAAGTTTTGGGTAGTATAAGTGCTCAATAGGAACTCTCTTAAGTTCAGGTGTCTAAATGAAAGATCGTGCCAACTTTAAGTGTCTTCGTATGTATTCCGCCAAACCATTATAAACAATTTCATACCAAAATTGAGGACCTCCTAATTTCATAGTAGGATTTAACAAGACAGCAACACCATAAACAGAGGGAATAGGGAAAAAATATTTTTTAAACTTTTTTCTCTTATAATCAATAGCTGCATGGAATTGACGGACGGTGTAATGGAAAAGGTGTTATCTGGTTGCCCTAACCTGGAGTGCTTGGATCTATGTGAAGTTTGGGGCATTGATCATTTGAAAATCAGCTCTATGAAGCTGAGAAAATTGATTGTACAACGATATCACAAGTACGGATTTTTACAGTGGAATGTCAAAATAAGCAATGAGAGTAATTATCTTTGGCTCGAAACATTAGAAGCTTCGTATACTCAAAATTTGCAACTTGTTTCTTTGGTGAGATACACTTGCAGCAGAGAAATGTGCCTTCACTTGTCAGTGCAATCCTTCATATACATGTTGATTGTGAATATGAAGACTACAACTTGGAGAAGGAGTACAGCAATTTGAAGGAACTTCTTCAAACTGTTGCCCATGTCGAGAATCTTGAATTGAGTCCCTGGTTCATCCAGGTTTGTTCATACTCTTTGCTATCCAAAATTCAGATCCTTTTGTTGTTTTGGGACTTTTTATTTTCTATTGAATCATCACTGTAGCAACGCTAACAGTGACATTACTTAGGATAATCTGATAATTAATTTGGTAATAACTAAAGAATTACATTCTCATGGCCAATTAGGTTGGATAGTGGCAGGTGATTGAAAATCAACTGTGAGAATAAAGAGCTTGCAATGGAAAGAACAGCACGAAAAATGTGCATTGATTTACATTGATCATACTCTTTAAGTCATATGAATAGGTTTTTTGAAGTGCTTGAAAGTCCATCTTTCGCGCATTTCCTTGTTTTGATATATTCTGGTTTATCTATTTGTTTATAAGTGCCTGTCCACACTGGCGATGAAAGGCTGGCAGTCTCCACCATCAAGCCGGAAATTCTTAAAACTTAATACAATGTTAGAACGCTTGGACTTCCTTGGAATTTACAGCTTCCTATAGAGTTCATCGGAGCTTGAGACATTGGTCATTGACTGGAACAATCACAAACCAACAATAAGTTTCCTTTAGACCTTTATATTTCAATGCTATCAAAGGCGAAAACTTTAGGATCTGTTGGGGCGTTGAAAGCGTGGGCTTCAATGAAAAAAGCGCAAATTGAGAAAAAAACTACAAATGTGTGTGTTGTCCAAGACTGATATCTATAAGTATGAATACCAAATATATGGACAAAGAGATTGAAGAAAATTTATGATAAAGCAAAATATCGATGGTTTGGTGTCATCTCTTCAGGATAACGCTCATTGGCAAGGAAAAGTATACCTTAAAGCCTTAATGACAACAGTAAAGCCCATGCTAAGCGAGGCGAAACTCAAAACATATTTTGAGCCTCGCTTTTGGGCTTAAACACACTTTAAGTGAGCCTTTGATAACAATGTTATATTCATTGCTTCTTGTTATGATCAAACAACTGTTAGTGGAAGAAGAAGACGATATGTATCAATGTGTTTAGGATCTTAAGTACTTAATGGAAAAATCATAAATCTTTTTTTTTTTAAATTTAAACCTCCTTTCTGGTAAATTTCTTAGATAGTGATCGGGGGACTTAGCTGCCTTATCTGCTTAAATATAAGTAAGAAATGAACTGGTTCAATCCTCAAGTAAAGAGAAGATTGAGAAGGTTCAATCTTTGACAAACACGTAGGAGATAAGCCTCTAATGTCTAAGGAAAAAGAGTGTTTCTAACTTTTCCCATAAGAACCAGAAAAAGTAAGTGAAAAAGTAAGAGGAGTATTCTCTAGTAACACGGGAGCTCACAAAAAGATCTAACCCGGGAAGCTCACCTTGTTGCATTATTGGAGGTAAGTTTTGGGCTTTCCTTCGAATTCAGAAGGAGGGAGCTGCCATTTGTCAACCCTTAAGGTGCCCTCTAGCTTCTCTTGGTAGTGAGTAGGGGTGACAAAATGGTTTTAAAAAAAACAGTTAACCACCCATATTATTCGCTAAAAAATGGGTTGTATAGTGAACTTTTTAAAAACGTGTCAAATATAGATAAGAACCATATTATTCATTTAGAAAATGATAATCAATGGGTATCCAATGGGTCTAACTTTTACATTTGTAAAGCCTCAAATTGGAGGTTCCTCAAGTTAGGGAGACTAAGAATTATCCCAAAAGTAATCATATGCAAGAAGTCGTGGATAATATGGTCCGGTTAATCCGTTTGCTATCCGTATTAAATATGGATCGGGTCAAATAATTTATTCATTTTTTCATTATCCGTTTTCGACTCGAACCACCCGTTTGCAACTACTAGTAGTGAGTTAAAGCTGAAGAATAGGTGGCTATATCATATGCCATAATAATATAATCTTGAACAGTTCCTCGCAATGCCATCTGCTCCGCCTTGTCCTTGCCTGCCATTCATTTTTAGTTTTACGCATCCTAGATCATGTTTGCAATATTTTACCACAACGCTTGTCATTACGGTGAGTATTTTTCACCGTGTTCACATAAATTGCTCCAGGGAATTTGTAGTTCAAATTCTGGAAATTTCATTTCAATACTGCTCTATCTGAATCTGCTTTTTAGTCTTGAAAGTTGATGGTTTCTCTTTGCTAAATCTGCTGCAGCAGCGTGCTTATTATTCTATTTTTGTGTAAGATGCCTAGAGGAACTTTTTTTTGTTCTTATTTATTTTCCTCAAGAAAATAGTTCATTATGAGTTGCTTTTACAGAAATTTTCTGTTGTCACTATCAAATTCATTCTATGAATAAGCCAGTTCTACAGTGAACTTTCTTGTAGTTGTAAAAAGATGTTTAAGAAGGGATAGTGCTCACCTTCATGCGAGGAGATAAGGCTTCGCTTTAATGGGGTTATGAAACATTGTTTTTGTTGTGGACATGTGTAACATGATCCTTGAATCTAAAAATTCATCACCTTTTTAATTTTATTCACAATTAACTCCTTGGCTTTCTACTTCGATCTGAGGAGAATAACTGATTAATTAGCTGACTCTTTGCTGCAGTATGTGTATAAGAACGATAAACGGTGCAAGAGGTTTGAGATACATGATTTTAACTGCTCCTTAGTACATTTGAAGACCATCAAGTTCATTAACATGGTTGGACCATTGAGTGAAAATAAGTTCGTACTACCATTGATAAAGTATTTGCTTGAAAATGCAATAGTGCTAGAAAAGTTATCATTGCTGGCAGATGCAAAGGGAGTCATGTGCCTCGGAATTATGTTAAAATGGAACAGAAACTCCTGAGCGTTCCGAGATCCTCTCCTCATGTTTCGGTTCTCTTTTCTTATGGCCCCTCTTTGTATTCATCGCAACATACTTAACAGCAGTAACTTTATGTTTGAAACTGGTTGTGTAGCTGATAAACAAGGTTAGGATTGTACTTTTCAATGTGCACTAAGTTTCTTCTATGTGCGGGGTCCGGGGAAGGCCGGACCACAAGGGTCTTTTGTACGCAGTCTTATCCTGCATTTTTGCAAGAGGTTGTTTTCACGGCTCGAACTTGTGACCTACTGGTCACATGACAGCAACTTCACCAACAACTTCACCAGTTATGCAAAGGCTCCTTTCTGATTGCCATGCGGAAAGCTTGCTCTAAATATTTTGTTATTACTATTCATATTGCTGAGTTGATCGTTTTTATGCTATGAAATTTAATTGGTGGATAAATACTTATGGACTTGGACAGTGAAAGGCATTAGGAAGGAACCACAGCAGTGGAACCTATTCCCAGCGTGTTATGCTGTGGCCTGTGGGTATTACATAAGGATAGAAGTTGCAAGTCTTTTGAAGGAAAAGCAAATGCCAACCATAACTGAAAAATAAGTGTTTGAATTTGCTTGCATATGGTGTAAAGTGTGAATCTATTGCTGTGATAGACTTCACATTCAGGAGTTAGTTGTATATAGTTTTTGTACTCACATGCAGGGGCGAAGCGACATGTCTTATAGGGTGGTCTAATTGACCACTCTTCATCGGAAAATTACACAGTATATATAGGTAAAATATTATGTTTTAGAGGTATATAACATATATCGAATACTCTTTGTCGGAGAATTTTTTACTTCTTTCAAGTTTAAACACTTTTAAATTTTTTTTGCTTCGCCACTGCTCATAGGCATGGTCTTTGATAGTCAACCCTTTTGTACATCATACATACAAGTCCATAAAAGTTAAATTTCATCAACCTTTAGGGTTAATTTTTAGGTAATCTTATTGAACTTTATTTATTATAACAATAACGTAACAAAATCGTTTTTTGTTACATTAAAATAGTTGACAAGGTGTGAATTATTAAAATGAAAATGATTGGAAGGTCAAATTTTCAGCACTTGATTATGGCACATCAATCGTCACTGTTATTTGTGTGCCATTCTGTGAATTCCACGTCAGAAATATTTATCAGAGATTTCATAGTGTAAAATATTTGACCGGATTATCCAATGCAGCAATTGGCTAGAGATATCAAATGATATCACATTAAGTTATGGGGGAATTTATATATTATTTTACGTGGGTCAAATGTGGAATGCAAGTATGTGTCTTTAGAGAAATAATATTTGTATAACAATAATCCCTTCATTATTAATCTCCGCTTAACAATATTTTCTGTTATTAATCATTGCATATTTCTTTCTTTATTAATCACTATATAAATAATCTCTGCTTTATGATTCCCGCATAATTAATATGTGAGCTAAACAAACCTTAATTATACTTAAAGGAATGAGCCTAATTGTCATTTCTCAGCCAGACTAAAATTGTTGAGCCAAATAATAGGGTAAAAAAACTACACAAATAACCTTGGAAGTGGGTGATTTGAAACTTTTGACTCCGTTTGAAATCATCCCTATTTTATAATTTTCTGCAAATAATAAAGAAAGAATTACAGCCAATTATTTGACTCTATTGATCCAACAGGCCAGGTGGTAAAATAAAGGGGAAGTTTCATAATATACCCATTTGTAAAATTCACTTTTATGATATACTTTAAGTTCTGAAATTACATCAAATGTCCCAAAAGTATTACACTTTATGCCTCCAAATCTTCTCAAATATTCTGAAATATACTATAATATTCTAATTTGGAATACAATCCAAATCAGACATACCATATTAATCTAATGAAGAATACAATTTTCAAACCAAAAATACCATAATATTCTAATTTGAAATATAATTTTCAAACTAAACATACCATAAGGTTCTAATTTGGAATACAGAATCCATCCAAACCAAATATAATAATATTCTAATTTAGAATATAGTATTCAAACCAAACATACCACAACATTCTAATTTAGAATACAATATTCAAATCAAACATATTTGTCACGACCTGAATTTTCCATCATCGGGAGTCGTGATGGCACCTACTCGTAGAAGCTAGGCAAGCCACGAAATTAGAAATCCTTAACTCTTTTGCTTTAATCTTCTTACAAATTACATCAACAAGTGATAAATATTTAAATACAACGGAATGTGAGATTAAGCGGAAGACTTAAATAAACGTAAAACCCAAAATAATACGAAAATCCACATATGTCTCTACACAGAAACTGATGTCACAACATCCACGAACTACTAAGATCACTACACACAACTGTTTGAAAGAAAGAAAGCACTGTCTGTTTCGGATACAAGAGATAACAAAACATAATAAAAGATAGAGGAGACGTCGGGCCTGCGGACGCTTGCAAGGCTACCTCGGTATCTCGGTGGACTGAAGGCTGGCTCCCCTAATGCTGCTGACCAAGCGCTGCTCCTGTATTTGCACATAAGTGCAGAGTGTAGCATCAGCACAACCGACCCCATGTGTTGGTAAGTGTCTGGCCTAACCCCGGCGAGGTAGTGACGAGGCTAGGACGAGACTCCAGATAAACCAGTGCAGTTATATAATAATTACAACGGAAATATAAACAGGAAATAACAGTTTAAAAGGGAGGGGGAAACATGCTTCGGGGAAATATATCAATTCTAACAGAAACTTAATAAAGTATGAAAGAACACTCGATGTCTACAACAATACAATAACAATACTGTTGCGGCGCGCAACCCAATCCCTTACCATTTAACATTGTTGCGGCGTGCAACCCGATCCACATATATAACTGTTGCGGCGTGCAACTCAATCCACATATATAACTGTTACGGAATGCAACACGATCCAATATAATATTTGTTGCGGCGTGCAACCCGATTCTCATATATATANNATAATGATCTCTTTTCTTTCTCACTTTTACTTCACAATTCACTTCACAACTCGAGCCAATGCTCTAGAGTTTCGATTAACACTTATACTTTCACAAATCGTTATCCAACTGGAGCCAACGCTCCTCAATGTTCACGAGTCACAATTCTTTCCACAAACTTTACACAACAAGTAGAAATCTTCACCAAGGCATGAATAATACAACGAAGTCATGAAAATCACAATACAAGACTCAGGTCATGCTTGACACCAACGTATAGATACTCGTCACCATGCCTATACGTCGTACTCAACAAGAAACAAATAGAAAATAGGACACAACTCCTAATCCCTCAAGCTAAGGTTAGACCAAACACTTATCTCAATGCCACAAACACAACTCAAGGTTCAATTATAGCTTTACCCCTTGATTCCACCGCCAATTCGCTCATTTCTAGTCACAAATTACTTAATTACATTAATACACGCTAAATGAATCAACCCCAATGCATAAGAATGAGTTTCCAAAGTTTTACCCAAAAAGTCAAAAATCGCTTCCGGGCCCACATGGTCAAAACCCGAGGTTCAAACCAAAATTCGATTACCCATTCCCCCACGAACCCAAATATATGATTTGTTTTGAAATCGGACCTCAAATCGAGGTCCAAATCCTCATTTTTTTAAAAACCTAGGTTCTACCCAAAACACCCAATTTTCCCCATGAAAATCTTTGATTTTAAGTTGAAATCATGTTAAAAGATATTAATGATTGAAGAAAACTAGTTAAAGATGACTTACAATTGATTTGGAGAAGAAGGAATCCTTGAAAAATCGCCTAAGTGTGTTTATGTTTGAGGGAGTATAAAAAATGGGTTTTAAAATCGGTTAAGTATAAAAGTTGCAGGTTGCAGGCATGAGAATTGCGAACAGGGGTTCGTAATTGCGAACCCCGACCCCTGATAAGTTGGGAAATGCGAAACAGGGTTCGCATTTGTGAACCCTTCAGAAATCCCAAACTTTCGCATTTGCGAAACTATTGCCGCATTTGCGACTTCGCATTTGCGAATAAGACATCGCATTTGCGATCCTTAGCCAATAGGCAAACCTTCGCAATTTGCGAAGAAAACCTCGCATTTGCGAGCCAAGGCAGGACTGGGCTAGTTTTGCATTTGCGATCCAACCTTCGCATTTGCGAGCCAGGCTTCGCAAATGCGAAGCCTGCAGGCCTGTTTATTCCAACAAAATTTTTCTGCAATTTCTAAGTTCAAAATGCAACGCGTGGCCTATCCAAAACTCACCCGAGCCCTCCGGGATCCAAATCAAATATACACACAACCTCAAAAACATCATACAAACTTATCCGTGCGATCAAATCGCCAAAATAACCTCATTAACACCGAATTAAAACTCAAAAGCAAAGGATTTTTTCCAAACTTCATAAAACATCAACTTTAGCAATTTAGGTTCGAATCACGTCAAATGACATCTGTTTTTTACCAAATTTTACAGGAATGTCTTAAATCATATATAAGACCTGTACCAGGTGCCGAAACCAAAATACGGGCCCGATACCATCATGTTCTAGTAAAATTTCATTTCAAATTTCTTTAAACAATTCCAGAAAATAATTTCCTTTAAAAATTCATTTCTCGGGCTTGGGACCTCGGAATTCGATTCTGGGCATACGCCCATGTCCTATATTTTCCTACGGATCCTCTGGGACCGTCAAATCACGGGTTCGAGTCCGTTTATATAAAATATTGACCGAAGTCAAATTAACATATTTTACAGTCAAAATTTATTATTTTTCATAGATTTTCACATCTAGGCTTTCCGGCTACGCATCCAGACTGCGCACATAAATCGAGGTGATGCTAAAAAGAGGGTTTTAAGGCCTCAGAACATAGAATTTTGTTTTAAAACCATCCTCCACCTCTAAAACAACTGTTCGTCCTCGAACGGACAAAAGAAGGAAGTACTTGAGTTAGGGAAAAGATGGGGATAACGGCTCCGCATATCGGACTCGTACTCCCAGGTTGATGCCTCAGGAGGCTAACCTCTAAACTGAACACGAACAAAAGGAAAACTCTTCGACCTCAACTGACGAACCTGCCGGTCTAGAATAGCCACCGGCTCCTCCTCATAAGACAAGTTCTTGTCCAAATGGACAGTGCTGAAATCTAACACGTGGGATGGATCGCCGTGATACTTCCGAAGCATGGACACA